TTCCAAATAAAGAACATGATGCAAAAGCTACAAAAGATTTTGGTCCTTCTATTATCTCGAATGCTTCTAACATATAGAAAACCAACATAGAAAGTTCCAAAGAAGGGGAACATGTTTTTGAACCCAACGAAGAGACTATGAAGAAATCAGGGTGGAAACATTAGTCTTCTCATACCTCAGACAATCTTGCCTCATTGAATCCGGAATGCACACTAGATTAAAGACTATAAATCTAGTTGCATTTTTTGCTTTCATATAAACTATTGAACCCAAGAACATCTAACAAGATCTAAAGCATGTTGACTAGGTGAACTTAATACAGGAGGAGCTTCATCAGTTTAAAAGAAGTAAGGTGTGGCAGCTAGTCCCATACAGAATGGGGCAAAAGTCTCGTTATAATCAATTCCTTCTTCTTGATCGAATCCCTGAACAACTAGTTTTGACTTATTGCTTGTGTTATTGAAGAAATCAAAATTCTAATTTTTTGTGCTACCCATATAGGGTTCAAACTTTTTCAGATGGATGTTGAAAGTGTTTTTCTAAATGGATATCTAAAGGAAGAAATATATTGTAATAAGACTGCAGGTTTGAAGATCATGAATTGCCAAATCATGTGTTGAAATTAGACAAAGACTTGTATGTCCTGAAGTAGGCTGTCAAAGCTTTGTATGAATGACTGTTAAAATTTCTTCTTGAAAATTGTTTCAAAAGAGGTAAAGCTCACAACACTATATTCTTGAATTCAAGTGGAATGGAGCTTCTTATAGCACAAATATATGGGGATGACAATATATTCAGAGCTACTGATGATTATGCAGGTTTTTTTATTGACAAGAAAAACACCTTAGGAATGGCCAATTTTCTTGGGTCATCACCGATTTCATGGGAAACAAAGAAGAAAAAATCGATATCTTTGTCTACAGCTGAAGTTGACTATAAAGTTGCTACTTGCTATTCTGGTCACTCCCGTGGATCAGACAACAACTTGATCATTTTTGTGTTCTCACTGACAAATTCCTCTTATGTGTGACAACACATGCTCAATGAACAACGAAAAGAATCTAGTCAAAATTAAGAGAACCAATCACATTAATTTTAGACATCATTTATTTCGAAACAATGTTGATAAAGGGAATAGGGTGATATGATTTTGAAAAGTGGAGGACCATTTAACTGGCATCGTTACCAAAACATAAGAAACAAACATTTTGTCAATAGTATAGTGAATTTGGGAATGCAAAAGCTACACTAATCCTCAATAAATTTGCAAGCATCCTCTACATTAACTAAGCTAAGATGGCAGGTAACTACACTTGTCTTATTGCTTACTATTTGTGATTTCACTACTTTTACCTTACTGCAGCTATACACTCATGGAATTATAGCTATATAAAATATTTAGTCATTATGGTTATGCTATATATTGAAAGTGATCGATCCTCTTGCAAGGTCAGTATCATTCTACTATATTCAGTTATTTCCCAATGGTCTTTGCCCTATTTCCTACGACAGTTATAGACGTCTTTTCAGTTTGATAGTCAACTGTCGCCTTTTCTGAGGGACTCGATACCAATAATAAATAGACTTCTTATTTTCAATCTTTATTGTATCTAAGAAATCTGACCACTCTCTTAAATTAAAAGAAATCCTCTCTTCCTTCTTAAATAATTTGGAATTCTACAGATCTCTCTAATTTTACTCTCATGTGTGGAATGGGAGAAATTGGTGAATCTATAATGCAACAAACTGATGTCGTGGATCAGTCCTCGAAGGTCTCCCTTTTTTTCCCACTCTGGTTTCATTAGGTAAAATTACCTAAGTTTTGTAGCATACTAAGTGGTTAAGCTTATTGAAGATCTTGATGTCACTTATCAACCACGCAGTATCCTCAATAATGTCTGAAATATTGTTTAATGGGGATCAGCCTAAAGGAAATGGAACGAAATCTAACATTTTAGCCACATCAAGGGAGTGGCTTATGAAGAGTTTGTCCTCTTTAAGAGGAGTTATTCATCCACCTTTCTCTAAGGTTAAATGCAACTCACCAGATCCGGTCCTAAAAGACCTAAGCTCGTGTCTAATTAAACCTCAGAGATTGTTGCACCTAGTGATGCTAGTCAAAGGGAATATGTGAATGATGGTGAGGATATTCCCTCTATCTTTGATGAGGAAAGACTTCGAAGAGCACATACTCCGAAAAAGCCATTGGTGACATTGAAGGGACTGTTCTTGATATTAAAGCCAAAAGTTTAGAAGGACCTAGTGAATCTAAGGGCAAAAAGAACGAGAAAAGGGAAAGGGAATTTGGTGGTTTCTTCCTCAAAAAAGGGTGTTCGGAAGTATGTAACAAAGAGAAACACTCAAAAGTGTATGAGTAATGTCATGATTGCAAATAAGGCTCAAACAATTTTAAATTGTAGGGAAAGAAAAGTTGATAATACACCTGTCATGAAGCATATAGTGTTGTCTTAAGATCCAGGGTCTAGTAAAACTAAGTTGATGATATCATGAGAGTTGTAGACAAAAGTCAAAAGGAAATAGAGGAACAACGTGAAAAAAGTTTAAAGGATCACAAGAACAAAGAAGAAATCACCTGCCAAGAAGGCATGTGTAAATACAAAGGTTGCTTCTAATCTTGAGATTATTTTGAGACCTAGCCCGTCTATAAAAAGAAATGAGGAAGAAAAGGTATTAACCAGAGAAGAAAGAAATGCAAAGCTTGAGAAGCAGAATGTACTAAATGGTAGGATGTTGATCCTAAAATTTTGACTAAACATAGAATGTGTTCCCTGTTTGATTATGAGGCATCGCAAAGGTGGTAATATCTATTAGAATGTCATGTGTTATATATACGTGAGCCTGAGGTACTTGTTTTTACTATAATATGAATCTTCTCAAAGATGGCGGAATCAATAACGTTGTTTGTGCAATAGAGGTTAGTTTAAGTGAAGAAGTTTTTGGTATAATACTGGGGAAACCTGCAAATAATCTAATGTGTTTAAGGATGCAAGCCTTCTATGGAGTATGTCCAATGGGCTACAAAATATTGTAACAAAAAAAGTGTTGGGCTTCCTAAGAAATTTCTAAAGGGGGAGCATTAACTATTCAATGAGTTTGTCAATAAGGTTCTCCTACATAGAATTGGAAAGCGAAAAGTGCCCTTTTCTGCGGAACTATTCCTCATGGAACAATTGGATAAGCTTGAAGCAATAAATCTTCCCATAATCATGATTGAACATATGCATCAGATAATGACATAGAGGAATGCAAAGCATGGATAGCTTATGGTACCTTATTGAACTTGGTTTTCTATCATTTTAAGGTCCCTTGGTAGAAGGGTAGCAGGTACTATCAAGAAGACTTTCTCTATGACCACACGTATTGAATATGAATGTGTGGAGGGAAAGGTAGTTTAATGTTTTTGAAGACCTTGAAAATCAGGAAACTCTTAAACATGAAATGAACGATTTTACTTCTCTTCTACGAGCTAAGGATGTAGATATTTCTTGATGTCTAGCCCTTCTTAAAAGAAAAAATCTCAATGACCTGGTACCAACACTTTGAATAAGGAGGAAATCGACAGATTGAAGGCTGAAAATGATAGGCTGGTAGATTGAAATGCCTTACTGAGTGAGAAGGTCAAGTCCCTTCCTAAGAAGCTTGTTCAGGTGCACACTTATGGTAATTTTTATTGAATATCTTTTTCTCATGGCCCCCCTCTGTCTGAAATTGTATGTCTTCTAGTCTTCTTTTTTTGCTTCTTGAAAATGTTGTAATAGCAATATATTTGTTTTGGTGCTACCTAATAGCTAGTTTTGTGACACACTGATCTAAAAGGACATTGTCCTGTACTTCCTATAATTATGATTTCCTTACTAATTTGAATATTGTTTTTGTGTGTTACTGCTAACCTTAATAGTGATGTCAAAAGGGAGAATAGGTTCTTCTTTTTTTGCTTCTTGAAAATGTTGTAATAGAATATTGTTTTTGTGTGTTACTCTATTTGTTTATTGTATATTAAAAGTAACAAACAACTTTACATTCCTTCATTCAAAGTAAGAGAAAATTTCTTCTAAAGAACTCAAGCATAAAACAGCACATACTACAAGGGACCTGATAGGCCAAAGAAGAGAAATCTTTACCTGCTGGTGTTATTGAATTCATGTTTTCTGCTAAACTTGTAGGATTGTTTCACATTCATAAAGAAACATTTCAAAACCTTTGTGTGTATTGTTGTAAGAACACAATTAGAGTTAATTGTGTGTCTTGGGTGTTGAAGTGTATATTAATTCGTGGTAGTTAATATAGTGGGCAATGAATGTATTTCTCTTGCTCAATAAGTAATTGAGGTATTACTTAGTGTGAGACTAAGAGTTTAGTTTCATTGTTCTACCTTGAATTTGTATTCATTTTTCTTGAGATTAGTGAAAGCAATTCAAAATCTGTGAAGTTAGGTCGTAATTTTAGTCCCTTCAGCAAGGAGATTTCCAAGTAAAACTCTTGTGCCAGATTTCCGCTCTATTACTCTATTAAAGGACCAGGATAGTGATAACTAATGCGCACACACAATCCAACAGTCTAATTGTGAAGTTAGGTCGTAATTTTAGTCCCTTGAGCAAGGAGATTTCCATGTAAAACTCTTGTGCCAAATTTAACTTGAGCTATTGAGTTTCCGCTCTATTACTCTATTAAAGGACCAGGATAGTGATAACTAATGCGCACACACAATCCAGCAGTCTAACCTTTAGATGGTAATATTAATGTACATATGAGATTTGCCTTCAAATAAAATACTTGATAAATGATAAATTATTTACAATCTTCGGAGATGTAATTCAAGACAATTATGATATATTTGAGAAAAAGAAGGTATAAATTTGGTAGCTTTATTAGTGTTTGAACAAGATAATACACATCAGGATCAAATTCAACAAACTAAAGCATCAAAAAGATAAAACAATCTCCAAAAGAATTGAATACAAAAGAATATGATCCCCTACCTGAGCATAGAAGAAATTGGAGACTCTCAATGATGTTGTATGAACCCAGGTCCGTCCAACCATAGCCTAATCTCTTCACCTCAAAGATCCCTCACCCACCAAAGGAGTAGGTAAGTGTGGCGGCGATGAAAAAAGGGTTTTGAAGAGGAAAAATAAGTCAAGAAACCCTTCTAAAATCTTGTAGATTTTTCTTTTATTTTTTATATTTCTGTATATTATTGAGATGGGCCGGGTTTGGTTCATTTATTTATTCTAAAAACTTTTGTTAAAGACTCGATTCTGAAACATTTAATTTTGACTAATTTTTAATTCATATGCATGTTTTTGCTACAATTTGATCTACCATTAATGATTTATGGCAAGGGCAAAAAGATATCAATGAAATGTAAGAAACTAGTTGTAAAAATCTTGTGGTAGAAAAATCAATTAAGTGAGTTACATATAGCTTAGAAATAATAAAAACACTTTGGAAGCCTTTCAAACCTTGTGAATATTACTTCTTTACATTCTCAAAAATTATATTCAACTTTTCAGGTAACAAACACATTGAATATTAAGTTGTCAAAAGGGATTTAAAATATCCCCCCAAAAGAAAAAAAATACAATTAATTTGTACATTATTTATAAGACGGAAGACCTAAAATGAATAATCATGAATGTTTTTTTCCCCCTTTTGTATTTTTACAATGAATATATTATGTTATGACGTAATTTTACTATCATTTTACTATCTTTGGAAAAATCACTTTTTGAAATGTTCCTAAGTATAAAACATTTGAGAAAAATACTTACAAAAGAGTAGCCTCTTAATATTTTAAGAATAAATTAAAAAAAATTAATTTAAAAGGATCTCAAAGAAAAATCTTAATAAATTTAGAGAAAATGGGTAAGAGATTCTTATTTACGCTTCAAGAAGGTTTTTATGGCACTTGAAGCGTCCGTGAACATGCTGTTATCCTACAACTTAGGTTAAATATTTTTGACTATTTTTTAAAAAAATAATTCAATATAAAAATAATATTATTAATTTAAAATACTCGATTAACTTGAGAAAATAGTTAAAAGGACAATTTCAAATTTTTCAAAAAAATGGAATCTTAATTGAAACATTTGAATATAATACAAGTGACTAGAATTTTAACAAGACTAGATTTGTTAGAACTTATTTGAGGCATTTTTTAGAATAATATTTTAAAACCAAATTGGTTAGTTAAAGAATGAAGACTATTTTGAGTTACTTGAAGGTTAAGTAAAAGTTTTCAAATAAATAAAAACCAAGCGTTGATAAAAATGAAATTTATTTAAACATACAAACATAAAGAATATAGTTCATCTCTTGTGGAATTAATTAAGTTATTGAATAATTTCAAAGTTAGGGTTAATAAAGAAACCAAACAATAAATACTCATAATCAAATAATTTAAGAGTAAGCGAGAGAGAGGATTTGGGCCATTTTTGGGCTGAATTCTGCCATTGAAAAGTTTGGTGTATATTGGACTGTGTACTAAATGTATACAATCCATTTCAGCTCCTGAACACCTGCATTTTGGCACCTCACCCTATATATCAATGTACATACATATACTGCTGTATACAACATGTATACAGTCCATTTTGGAGACTTGTGTTTCAATTTTCAGCCCACATCTTACTTCTATTGCTTTGGCTGACTCAGCAAGAGGTAAAGTTAGGCTTTTGTCCCAATAAGGGGATGCAAAGATAGGAGATGAGAGTCCGAATAGACTCGAGGCAAGTTCCACATGCAAAGAAAGAGGGATAACATTAGCATTCAAACTTAAACTTATTCACAAGAACAGCATCCTTCAGTTAAAAAAAATGAAATAAAGCAGGATTTAATTCATAACAAGGTCAACTAAGATACTTCACGATAAAATAAAGCTACAGCCAATGCTACTTAGTGGATTTCAAAGAGACAAATTAAGTAACCACATTTCACTTCAGTTGATCAACCAAGAGACATCACTGCCTATTATACTAAGAAAATGCATCAGACATGTTTATTCCACCAAAAAATATCACATTGGTATTAATAATCAACCAAATGGGGGCAATCCTATAATCTAGCATGCATGAATAGAATATTAAATGCCTTAACTACACACTTAACTACTACAATCAGAGAAGACATTTTCTGACAATAGCCATTGAAATAAAACATGTCATTGTTATTAGCTTTTAATCAAATGGATGACTATGTATGTTGACATAGATAAAGATATCTTTCCTACAAGATGAGCATGCTTAAAAATACAAGAAACAAAGGGGTATGCAGCCATATGCCTCTCCAGTAGCAACAACGAGAAGAATAGTAGATAAAAAAAAACATATATTTAGGCTACTATAACTTATCATGAACAATGTTTCTAAATCATAATACACAAACAACAGAACTTTAACTTCTTCAAACATAAATTAGAATTAGTAAGTTCAAAGAACAAATATTTTATCACTTTTAATAACTAGAGATTTAAACAAAATATATATGAATCACAAAGAAATCAAGTTACTACACCAAATATCTCTAGGAAAAGGCATGTAACAAGACAGTAAAGCCACAATGATATTCGATAGATATTGTGAAAAATCAAGCATGATCTCCAAATAATCCATACACCAAACTCAACACTAAAGACAACCAACAATAAGGTGAGGCATAACAAGTCACTAATTAACAATTGAAGTCTGGAAAAAATTTACTACTGGAACAGTAACAAAATACAATCCTAGGGATGAACAAGGATATTAAATTTCCCAGAGCAACGATACTAGGACGACGAGCTTGAGAAGCCAACGATTCTTCCGCCATAAAATCCAAATATGAACAAGCTAAGAAATCTGACGATCGATCGTCTCGAAACATAGAATCAGAAAATCGAGTATAAGAAATGAGAACTTGTGTGAACCTCCATGTATTCTGATTAACTAATCCTTTTTCTGGTAGGAAAAGGTTTAGGACTCTATAAATAGAGACATGTTCCTTCTAACTTAATCATCATTCACAATGTAGTCTTAAGGATTTTGAGAGTTTTGGTGAGGGGGAGAATTTGTGGGTCACAAGCTTGATACGTTATCACTTGTGTGAACCCCCCATGTATTCTGAGTGAATTTGGTTGAGGTTGATTCCCTCTGTATTTTGTAATCTCATATTTACAGTGGATTGATCATCTCATTTGTGGACGTAGGTCGATTGACCGAACCACGTTAAATCTTTGTGTCTTTTGGTATATTTCTCGTTATCTTCTTACTCGTGGTCTTTTGCGGTTTCCTTTGCTAGCTTCTGCATTTACACCTGCTTATTTCCGGTTCTAACAAGTGGTATCAGAGCTAGATTCAATGATGGAGCCAGGTTTAGTGGTTCGATAATCGATGATTGAACCAGGTTAGAAAGAGGTATTCATCTTGGCAGTGTAGTTCTAGCAGCAACCTTTTTGACAGTAATGAAGATTTTGTTGGAGAAATTGTTTCAGAGAGGTTCTCTGTGTTGAGACATAAATTTTGCAAATAAGATTATGGAAAGGAGAAGCAAGTTGTTGAAGATTAAGTGAAGAAGGTGGACAAATTTATTTTGTCAGAAATTTAGGCCAAGGGGGAGATTTGTTGGGTTTTATTTGCCCTGATTTCTTACTATAAATAGGTTTTCCTTTTAGGAAAAGGTTTTGGATTGAATAATCCTTTTTCTAGTAGAAAAAGGTTTAGGACTCTATAAATAGAGACATGTTCCTTCTAACTTAATCAGCATTCACAATGTAGTTTTAAGGGCTTTGAGAGTTTTGGTTGGGGGGAGAATTTGTGGGTCACAAGCTTGATACGTTATCGCTTGTGTGAACCTCCCATGTATTCCGAGTGAATTGGTTGAGGTTTTTTCCCTCTGTATTTTGTATTCTCATATTTATAGTGGATTGCTCATCGCCTTTGTGGACGTAGGTCGATTGACCGAACCACGTTAAATCTTTGTGTCTTTTGGTATATTTCTCGTTGTCTTCTTACTTGTGGTCTTTTGAGGTTTGCTTTGCTAGCTTCCGCGTTTACACCTGCTTATTTCCGGTCCTAACAAAACGGCTACTGCCGAGGAACTGAACTCAAGAACCTCCCTATGCTCGCTCCTATTTTTCCCCTTAATAACTTAATCCCCCTTTTCCGACTCTTTTTTTCTCCTCTCTAAAACTTTTTCTCTCTTATTTTTTCCTGCCCTATTTTTCTCATCACGATTTTCTGCCCTCTAAAACTTCTTCATTTAAATATTCCAAGAAAGAGATATTAATAGGTTGAGATTGGGATTGAAAGTCGGGGAAATCGAATTCAAAACTTGAATTTCTTTGCTCTTTATCGAGATAACAGTAAAAAGAATACAGAGTTGTTGTTTCTCTGGAGCTCCGCGAAAAAGGGGGAAAGGGGATGAAGGTATGGGGGCGTGACTTCTCTTTGAATTTTCTGGATTGATGCGGCGTTTTCTTGTTGTTCGCATTGGAGAAGAAGAACAGGGTCAGTTTATGTACGATACTGGGTATTGTTGTTGTATTGAGTTGTTGAACGAAGGAAAAATTACATGGATAAATACATTTTTAAAAATAATTACTGATTTTAGCAATTTTTTTTGTTTATTATCATTTTTAGTAATATTATGATAAATTTGTAATATGTATTAAAAGTGAATTATGTATGCAATATATTTGAATTATAATTGTTTTTTAAATATATTCTGTTTGTTTGGTAAAAAAATTGTCACATTGAATTATAAGTGTACTAGAATGTGTGATAAATGTATTATCCATCATTAAAACTTGTATTATATTTTAATAATAAATTTATCTTTGTATATATATATATATATATATATATATATATATTAAACTTGCATTATAAATATATTAAAAGTAGTTAAGTGTGAAAAATGTTATTGCTATAAATGGTAATGTCTTTTATTATAGTATATTGGGATAATGCCCAAGTACCCCCTCAACCTATGCCCAAATCTCAGAGACACACTTATACTATACTAAGGTCCTATTACCCCCCTGAACTTATTTTATTAATAATTTTTTACCCCTTTTTAGCTTACGTGGCACTATCTTGTGGGTCCAACGATGGTTGACTTTTTTTTAACTAGTGCCACGTAGGCTAAAAAGGGGT